CTGGAGACCCTCCTGGACTTGTGGGAGGAGGAGGAGGGTCTCCATGACCTGCAGTCCCGCCGCCGGAACGCAGAGCTATACACCCGTCTGGCACGGAACCTGGCCCAGCAAGGCCACCCCAGCCGCAACTGCGAGCAGGTGCGCTCCAAGGTGAAGGAGCTGCGGCTGGGGTACGTGTGGGCCACGGAGGGGAGGGGAGCAGGACCCGATGCCTGCCCCTATTTTGAGAGGCTGCACTCTTTTCTGGGCGAGCCAGCCCCACAAGGTGTCCCTGTGGACACCTGCCAGCACCCCCCCATCAACTGTCCCACCGAGCCGGAGGAGGGAGTCCAAGGCGATCTCTGCCTCCTGGTATATGAACGCCAGGGCACCAGCCTGCAGCACGAGCTCCAGGCACCTGTACAGGTCCAGAAACATGGCCACCCACGGCTCCATGGCAGACAGAGCAGGGCAGAAAAAAGAAGACGCTGGGAAAAGCAGTTGGGGGGCCAAAGGGTGGTGTCCCCAAAACTCACAGGGCAACCACCGACCCTGTGAAGGGTGCCAGTCCCTGGCAGAGGTCACAAGGCACGGGAGCACGAGACCAACGGCTGCCCGGTGAGACCCCTTTAACCACACATCTGGACGGAGCTCCGGCCCCGCCCCCGGAAAGGTCTGGTGGCCTTTGCCATTTTCAAAATGGTTCCGGGCTTTTGCTTTTCCGGAAAAGCGCGCCGCCAATGTAGATGCACTTTTCCGGAAAAGCTGAAAACGGAATAGTATTCCATTTTAAGCATTTCCGGAAATTCATGCCAGTGTAGACGTAGCTCAGGTGTGGTGCCTAAAATTGGGGGCTGCTATGAGCCTCTGAGGCAAGTAAATCCACCTGAAAGTGCAGGACCCACTGAACTTATGTAGGAGCTTTTTCACACCCCTCACAATCTCCTTAGCTTTCCCTTTAAAGCCTTGCATGGGGAAAAGTTTTTGTGTATGTTTGATGTAAATTAGTGTAAATGGTAATACTTCATTCTGATTGCTGCCTGTTACACACTAAGAAAAAGAAGTGAATGCATTTGATGGGTCTAGTCATTTGTTTAATCTGTCCTGCTGCTAGATGATGAAGAATGGGAAACTTCTGATCAACATCCAGCAGGTTGTATGCTTCTTTGACAAATAACTCCACAAATTTACTCCCATTTTGGAGTCAATAATTTTAAGCACCCCTGTCTTCAGAACAGCTAAGACATTAATTGCTTTGCTGTAGTTATGGCAGTCATCCCCATCTATGCCACCAATACCTCCAGAATTGGACCTGTGGATTCCTTATGTGGCAGTGACTGCCTCTGGGGCAGCAAATACTCTTCTACAAATAAAATAGAGACTGTCCTGAAGGAACACTGCAGAAAGCACCTTGATAACAATCATCAAGGTTTGTCAGTGCTTGTGATAGCTGCCTCTGTCTGTATTCCACTTCCTCCCTATTTCTACCCCCAGCATTTGCACATCTTCTGATTCTATTTGCAGAAGAGGTTTTGCCATGATTTGGCCCCATGTAGATGGGGCCAAATGTCTGGGGGAAAAAAACTTTCACAAGACCCTATAAACCTCTATTTATGGGGAATAAGGGGTCTTGCAAAAGGGGGGGAAGTTCTGACATTTGACCCCGTCAAAATCTCTTCCACAAAGAACTGGAAAAAATGCAAGTCCAATTTTGCATATCTTCTTCCAGGGGAAAAAACTGCAGTGTAGCCGTAGCCTCAGTCTGGGTTACCTAAAATGGCTTTGTGGCTCTCTGCCCAATGGTTCTGAATTCCACCCTATCAGAATCCATCAGTCCAGAGATACAGGAACACTCTTGGGAATCATTTTTATGTCTTCCTGAAAAGCAATCTGGTAAATGTTTCCATCACAGCATGGATCTGTAGATTCTTCCATTGTTGAACACAATGACCCATCTTTTAAAGTTAGCATGCTGCTTCAGCCTAGCTATAAAGTTTCAGTTCCCTAAAATGGAAATAATGAATAATGCATTTAGTGACAATGTTCATGAAAACTAATGAACGATTGCTTGGATTATTGTAATATCTAGAAATAACCTTTCATTAGTTTCCAAGTAGCTTCTCGTGTGTGTGTGTGCGCAAACAGTAAAATTGCGAAGCTAAAGCTGTTCAGACTCCTGGCAGCAGAGAAAGAACATGTGAATCATGGAGCTAAAGCAACTGGAAATAGGAGCCCAGAATCAGGGCCCTGGAACTGGAATAACAAGAAATCGAGGGGGGAGAGCCGAAATACCAAATGGCTTTGCTAGAAAAGCAGAACCCAAAACTGCCCCAGCACTGATTATCACATTGACAGTTTCTCTCTCAGGATGCCACTTGGCACTGGAGTTCTGTGGAGCTTGCGTAGCCCACTAGCTTTGGTTCCCTTTATACTGAAAGGATATCTATTTTTTTAAAACTCGTAGGCCACATCTACATTGCATGCTCTTGTGTAAGAAGATATGGAAATGAGGTGTAGTGATGAATATTGCTTTGCCTCATTTGCATACCTAATGAGCTGCCATTTTTGTGGCACAGGCTTTTGTGCAAGAAGGAGCTGTCTACACTGCTGCTTCTTGTGCAAAAAACCCTTCTTGAGCAGAGCTGTTCTTCCTGAAAATAAGCAGCAGAACAGCTCTGTGCAAGAGGGTTTTTTGTGCAAGAAGGAGCAGTGCAGACAGCTCCTTCTTGGGCAAAAGTTTGTGCCGCAAAATGGTGGCTCACTAGATATGCAAATGAGGTGCAGCAATATTCATCTCCATGCCTCATTTGCATATCCTATTGCACAACACTGCACAGTGTAGATGTAGCCTTAAGACCTTTACCTCAATAACTCTTCAGACATAAATATCCACACATTAATTAAATGTGCTAAATATAAATGCACATTTATTTTGACCAGTGCCTTTCAATATAGGTGGCTATCCCCTTCTGCAACTAAACAAAGGAACCTGATCTTAGACCATTCACTATTCTGTATACGTCTAATATCTCCTCTTGTTAGATTTTTCTTATGAGAAGAGACTTTCTAAGACTTTAATCCTTTCTACTGCTCCTTCCAGTTCTGCACAATGAAGGGGGAACCAGAACTTTGCATCATAGCCACTGTATCATGTCAGGTCATTTTAATAGCATGGGTTTCTCATTCAGCTTGCACAATAACACCTTTCACTTCCAGGTTGTCTCTAGGCATCAAATTTCACTACCATCCTTATGGTGAAGCTAATCAGTATAGCATGAAATGAGCTTAATTTGGCTGGGAGATGCAACTTTAATGACAGATAACTGATTCCACTTTTGGACCAATTTGTGGGCCAGATTTGTTTGCCATTGTCCTGATGTTTCCAATAGTAAGGGGTGGGTGTGGGTGTGTGGGTGTGTGTGTGTGTAGACCAGTTCTAGTCTGATGCAGTGGTGCTTGCACTCCGTTTGCACATGTGTAAACGGTAGTACAAGCTGCAGAACAATGGAGAACATGGCTTATTGCCTTCTATGAACCAGTCTCGATCAATTCTACAAACACTGTCTTGCTTGAAACTGTGATAAAAGCAATAACTCTTTATGAAAAAATAAAGCTTGCTACATATACATTTTAGTCAATGCATACTGTATAACATATTTAGCAATACTCTTCACAGTTTGGTTCAGGGATATTTTTTAAATCTACAAACATTGAAAATCTGGCTGGATTATGAATGTCCTTTAGCTGATGCATGAAGTCCTCTGTAGTGCTAGGAAAAGGGCTGACATACATATTCCAAGCTTTCTCTGGAGCTCCAGGATCTGGAAACTTGTATTTATTCTTTAAACTTCTCTCCAGCTTTTTTTGTTTGTGCTTGAATTCCAAAATAGTTTTTGTATATCTGTTAATGGTGGTGACCGAGGCAGCCATACAGCAAGTGAAGGAACTCCATGCAAGGCTGTCAACAAAAAGGCTTGTTAGAAAGCGGCACAGCAGTTTTCCATCCACATCATACTACTGCATCTCCTAAATGTTTTAGCAAAAGTGATCAAACTATGGAATATCCATTTATTGTTACACATTTTGGATGAAGTGGGGGAACAGATTCCCAGTGGAAGCGTTTATTAGCTTATGTAGATCTACATCACTCAGGATTTAGCAGAGTTGAGTACGTAAGTTCAATATTTGCCTTCAATAATATGAACATTAAACTACATATTTGTGTTTTACAATTAAATGATTCTTGGCATAAGTGAGTCCCTATGAAAGAAGGGTCTTGCATGCTTCAGCTTGTTTCAATGTAAGAAACTGTTAAGCAAAGCTATATCTTGCTAGAATTTAAGTTTTAGACCCCAGAAAGCATGTTGTTGTTTTCAATTTGTGTATAATCCTTTCATAGCCCTTTCACTCTTGCTTTAGATCTCTGAAACCTGTGTTTGGAATGGGGGCATTCACCTCATCAGCACCACTTGCTGCTGAATTTGGTATGGCAGGCCTTTTCCTGCCCTCATGCTTCCTATAGTTTGCTGACCTCACTTGTAGGCCTTCATTGGTTCAGCCCTCCAGCCAAGTGACACAATCATGAAGTAAACCCCTTCCAGGAGTTATAAAAGTTCAACCAATTGCTAGCCCTCACCAGGGTCTTTAACCCAACAATTTAATGTGGCTCAATGTAAACACATAGGTCTGAGGACAGAATGTAGGCCACACTCACAGGATGAGGAATTCTATCCTGGGAAGCTGTGACAGAAAAACATTCAGGTGTCATGGTGGACAATCAACGCTGTGGTCGAATCAACTGATGCAATTTGGGAAGGCACAAACATGGAATCTCAAGTAGAAGCAAAGAGGTTATTTTATCTCTGTATCTGGCAATTCCGATGCCACAATTCAAGAAGGATGTTGATAAATTGGACATGGCTCAGACATTGGAAGATCCACAAAAATGATTATAGGACTATAAACATGCCTTATAGCAGTGGTACCCAACCTTTAGAGGCTCCCAGGCCCCCGGGAGGTGGGGCCACTCAAGGGCCGGGCACCTGAGGGGCGGGGCCGCGTGTCTGGGGGCACACCAGGGGATGGGGATGCCCTTGCACCCGGCACTGGTGCTGGCATGTGCCCCAGGGCTGGGGCTGGGGCCATCCGAGCACCTT